CATAACATGGTACATAATGTGAGAGAGATGTGACTCGCGCTCGCGTATTATGTACACACCTATATCCACTGCTATGTCCACATAGCAATATCCTTAAATTGTATGGGACATGTGAATGCAGGGACAATCCCCAGGCAAGTGCGATCGCACAAGACCCCATAATTATAGGACACCACACTCGTATAATGTGATAAGAAATTTTAAGATTTTTTTTTTTTTAATTTAAATGGCACAAAAGTAATGAAAAAAAAGAACTACAAAAGACAATTATCCAGCTAACATAATATAGTCCATTTAAAAAAAAACTATACCCAACAAATCAGCAAAAGGAAAAAAAAAATGATGTATGCACTAAAGTATTGATAAATTGTAACTAGATTATAACCAATAAATAAGAAAGATGAATAATTGATATATAAAAGTATTATATTTGTAAGTTTCCCATTATTATGAACTGTCCCTGCTTAAAATCACTCCATTACAATCACGCTTGTCCTAGAAAATTGAACCCCAAAGTTATTCTCAATATTAATCTTCTTAATCTTCCAAAATTATTTTCGATCCTTCGTATTAGATGTTAGATATTTAGCTAAGCTGCCAGCTGTCATGTTTTCATTCTCCCGCCATTTTCCATTCTGTTAATTCCGTTATGTATATATATCTTTGGCTGATACATTGTAATTTATAATTTTCATATCTTCAATTTAATAAGAAGCTTCCCGCCTTTTTGTTCAATTCAATCCTCTTTTAATTCAATATGGCATCAGAGCGCAAGTGGAATTTATGATTTTGCTTCTTCTTCAACAAAAGAATCCTGCCACTATTCCACATCTGAGCCTGATCGTTGATTTTATACACCATGGTGACTAATACCTCGAGGTTATTGGACAATAATTCCATTGTTGATGAAGGATTGAGTCCTTACTATCTCCACCATTCTGACAGTCCAGGTCTCATTCTGGTTTCTTAGCCATTGATTGGAGAGAATTATACCTCATGGAGCAGAAGTATGGTGATTGCTTTGTCAATTAAGAACAAATTAGGTTTTATTGATGGTTCAATCACAAAATCTGAAGGTAATGATAATCAGATCAATGGTTGGTTTCGAAACAATAACATTCTTATATCCTGGATACTCAACTCCATGTCTAAAGAAATATCGATAAGCATCATATATTCGATGTCTGCCTTCGAAATCTGGAAGGATCTGAAAGAGAGATTCCAGCAAAGAAATGGACCACGTATCTTCCAATTGAGGTGTGATATGATGAACCACACTCAGGCTCAGCTAACTGTAGGAGCTTACTTCACTAAATGGAAGACAATTTGGAAGGAATCGAGCAATTATCGACCAAACTGCTCATGTGGAAACTGTACATGTGAAGGAACTAAGGCCTTGGAAGATCACTATCTTTTGATGGGGCTATATGACTCTTTTGCATAAACTCGCAGTCGGATACTACTTATGGATCCAATACCACCTATGAATAAGGTATTTGCTCTTTTTTCTCAAGAAGAACATCAGAGGGCCATGATGACAGGAATATCGAGTGACAGTAATCCAATGGCCTTTTCCATCAAAAAAGGAGGGAAATAGATCTTATCATACTCAGTAATCTGGTAAATTTCAGAGAAAGTATCGTCCTGTCTGCACTTATTGTGGTCTGATTGAGCATGCAATAGACAAGTGCTATAAACTCCACGATTTCCCCTGGCTACAAAACACGGCAGAAGGTCAATTTCTCAAATTAGAAGATCACTGCAACAGCAAATCAGGTCTCAAATTACTCTAATCATCAGGAGAATGTGAACGGTTTTGTTCAGACTTTGAATTCGGATCAGTATCAACACTTTAGCCATGCTAAACCCTCATTTGACAATAGCAAAAGCATACACAGGCACTGATGTGAACTTAACACACACATGAGGTATATGCTTCTTAGTTTCCAAACATCCTATATTTCAGTCTCCTCGACGTTGGATAGTAGACTCTGTTACTACTAACCATGTTTGTTTTGATCAATCTTTATTTCATACTATTGTTCTCATCTCCACTTCATTTGTTACTCTTCCTAACAACTCTCGCATACATGTTAAACTTTCTGGATCCATTCGTCTCAGCCCCTCATTGATATTACACGATGTTCTCTTTGTTCCACAATTTCACTTTGTCGACTGGTGCCCTACTGGTGCAACCATTAAGACTAAGCGAACTATCCAGATTGTCGACTGGTGCCCTACTGGTTTCAAGTGTGGTATAAACTACCAACCAACCACTGTTGTCCCTGGTGGCGATCTTGCTAGGGTACAGAGAGCCATCTGCATGTTTTCCAACTCAACTAGTGTGGCCGAGGTGTTCTCACGCATTGACATTAATTTTGATCTCGTGTATCGAAGAGGGCCTTTGTTCACTGGTACGTGGGCGAGGGAATGGAGGAAGGTGAATTCTCTGAAGCTCGAGAAGACCTTGCTGCTCTAGAAAAGGATTACGAAGAGGTTGGCGCTTAGGGAACTGGAGATGATGGTGACGCAGGGGACGAATAATAATGTGTTTTACCCATTTCTGTGAGATTTGTGTGTTGCCTATGTTAAATGTGAGTAGTTTATGGCATTATTTCAGTACTGGTATGTTCCTGTCATTGTTTGAGATAAACTATTATCTCTAAATATATGATTCTAGTTTGTTTGAATCGCTTGTTTCCTTACCTAGAGAAAAGCAATATATAATGTTATTAATAGTGAGTTACAAGAAAGGATAAGGCAAAACATAAATATTTTACTTGTTGAACATACATGAATGTGCTTAGTTCAATCAATGTAGACGAGGAGCTATTTGATATATCTTCTCTTCAAGCAGCATGCAAAATATTGCACAGGAAATAGAAGGATGGCAGTCAATAAATCCATAATGCTTAAGATGCAAACTAAGAGGGGAATTGATATTTGTACCGAGGGGGTTGACAACCCTTCTCACTGGCCCCTCACAATAGTGGGGGGGCCCATCTGTTTTAAAAAAAGGGAGGCCCCCCACTATTGTGAGGGGCTGGTGAGGGGGGTTGTCAACCCCCCCGGTAATTGTAGCAGATCTCAACTAAGAGGCTGCAGAAATGATTATAAATAAAGGATTTTACTATGTCCTCGTTAGGCACCCTTTTTTTTTTTCTCATTCTCATTCTTTTCTCTTTCTTCATTTCAACCACACATTTCATCAATAAAATAATATTACAGATAAACCTAAAAATTCTTTTTACTTTTTAACCACACATTCTTCCATTAATCACTATTCAAAAACACATTTTTCTACTAAAATGGGTGTTAAACACCCCCTATATGTATACCGTACAGCCCCCCAATAGGGGGTTCACGAATTTTTTTATTGAATGTGGACCCCCCCCCCTTTGTGAGGTGACACTTAGTGTACAAATAACAAAACCCATAAATAAAACACAAAAATGCATAACCAATAATGACCTTCTGTTATTAAGTACCATTCTGGAACTTTGAAGCTTGAGATTCTTTTTTACTGATGCCTTCGTGCAGAAACAACTCTATTTCGAACTGAAGAGAAGTCATTACAGTTTTTAAGATTGTACCGTTTTATGTAATTATTACCTGTTTTTGGAATAGTTATAATCTAACGATTGAAACTAGATGAATTTCATCAATTATATCAAGCGATTGTGTGACTAAAAGAGTTTCTTCATTTGGTGTCACGTTAGAACTGGCGATTTATACTAGGTGGGCCCTGGATGTGTATGTATTGACTTCATGACGTGGCACCATCCAAACCAGAAGCTGAATAGCATTTTTTTTCTATTTATTTTCTCATTTGGTGGATGAAATAATTTATTTAATAATTTCAATTACATTAACAATAGGAATAGATTTTGCATATACAATAAAAATTCAATTCAATCTATTCAACATTTTATTTTAAAAAATTACTTGTTACATTTTCTTGTAAGTTTAACCATGCAGGGATACCATACCGATTAGCCATATCTGAAATTTTCGCCAAAAAGGAGGAAGTGGGTCAGATTTGACGACAGAGGAGGCCACAACAATCTGTTCTATTCAATTTTCTCAAAATACTTTTATTTTGATGAACAAAGTGAGAATAACTTCTTTCTTCGTCTAGATCTTCTGTCTCCGCATATCACATTAAATGCGTATTTAATATGCAATATTGAACAAAACTATACAGTACGATAAAAATAAAATTTAAAAATACAAATTAATCAAATTGACCATAAATGTGAGATGCAAAACTCAAATTTGAAATATCATTTAAAACACAAACACATAGTTCTGGAAGAAAATGAAATCATTTTCACAGTTCTGAGCCAAGAACGCACAAGCATTTGTTTGCATAATATTATAACAGAACTGCACCACCATCTAAACAGAACAAGGGTACAGTAAGATATGAAATATAACATGCATGACATGTTCATCTTGTTGTAAATCTTCATGCCCCTTCAGCAAGAAGGCAGAGGCGAATCCAAAACTTTTGTTCAGCTAGGGCGGAGCCGCGGAGATCGTTGACCGGTGACCAGTCGTTATAGCTGAAAATATAATTAG